TATCACCAACATAGGCCAATCAGCTAACCAGTATTTTTGCCCCTTCCCAAAATTACTTCTACGGAAGGTTTCCAGATGGATATGCGGAGCAAATCCATCTGGTGGAGTCAGGTTAGCAGTAAAGCCCATTCAAAAGAAAATTACTCTGAATTAAAAACACTGATCATTTATTGAACAGGATGGAATAATTTCATATTTAAAAAACTTTCAGAATTTAGTATTCTGAATATGAGCGAACCAGGGCTGTATTTTCCCTGTTGGTGTACAGAAGGAAAATATTGTGAGGCTTCAGTAGAAACAGTAAAGGTGTGCTTAAAGATCCAAGTCATTTTAGTGAAAGCACTTGATGATTTGAAGATGTCCCTGCAGGGAGTAAACGCCATCTCCAGCTGCTTCTACATTCCCAGATTGAGAGTTATAAACTGTATTTTGCTGTATGAACAGTTGAACTGACACATTTTGTATAAACATAAAAAAAAGAGTGAATATACAGTTTCTAAAATAACAATTTCCATTCCTCTGGTGTTTCTGCTTGTATAACCAAAATGTCATCAAAGCAGCAGCTCTGCAGACTTTGCTTTTTCCTTTACATGTTTTAACCCAACCAATTCTGTTTTATCTTAAACTTCTATTCCTCATAACAGGAACAATTCAGGCCTTAATGTTCGTCTAGTTTTACGCTGTTTAGCAACACTGGTGCGTAAAGAAAATGGGCATTACGCTGGCAGCTGATATAACAGGCAACCACAGTTATAGTGGCTTCTGTTTACAAAGCCTGGACCGGTGCTATGCATCTAAAAAAACATTAAAAAACAATATGTTCATTTTAAAATAAAGCAATATAAAAGGATTAATCATTAACTAAAGTATAGAGACCCTTAAACATACCTTAAGCTGACAGAGCGACCCACTTAGAGCAGGAATTATATCAAAACTGTATAAAATATAGTAACAATTTAAGTTAAAGATCTATATTTTTTTTATTCTGCCAATATGCTCTATTAGAGATGCAGGATATAATCGGCCCCCTATCGGTATCGGCCTTAAAACTGAATATCGGACATCGGCCACCCCACCGATATTTAACCCGATATTTGATCAGCTTCTGAGTTTCTAATGTCTTAAAAAAAAGAAAATACTACTTC